ATGGAAAAAAAAAAGTAAAATAAGACGTAACAACTACGCTGATCACAATACTTGCCACTCGTGCACGTACGAATCAAACGAATGAACAAAATATATGTACGATGAACAACAGAAGAGAAGGAAAAAAAAAACAACAGCAACATCGTCTGAAAAATCCAACACACAAGCGCACCACGGCACATATATTGAAAAGAGAAAAGCCACATCGAAATGAGATGAGGGCAATGTTAAGTACGTAAAATGAAACAAAATGAATGAAAAGAGAAGAAAAACGACGGCCACAGAGCACATGAGAGAGTGTGAGAGAGAGAGACTAGAGCGCAAGCACTGAGTAAACATTCCATTGTATGTATGTAATCACGAAAATAAGATGAAATAAAAAAGCAACAGCAACACACAACAAAATCGAAAAGCAAAGCGATACGCGAGACAAGAGAAAGAGCAATAATATTGAATTGAAAAATTCGTTTGTGAGATGTTTTTAAAGCGTCAAAATGAAATGGTACAAATGTGCACAACGCCGATCGGCGACTCACAGTGCGCACCGCGCACAACACTCTCACCTCTTTCAGCGCTCTCTCGAACGCGCGCGCATAAATCGATCGCGACACGGCCGACTCGAAAACTCGTTTGACGGTTTTAAATTTGATTTTAAAACTTCTTTCCTTCTCTCTCTCTCTCTCTCTCACTCTTTCACATGTACTACATGCCCGTCGCAGTGCCGTGACATGGCTATTGCAATGCTCAAGTAGCACTCTCTCAATACGTCACACAATATTCAAATCAATTGTAATTTCTTTTGTTTATAACGTTCGTTTGACAATTGCATTTCAAATTTGAAACGGGCAATTGCTCACGATCTGTGAGACTCTCTTGCGCGCCACATGAAAAAAACCATTCGCCTTATGGCCATTTAAGTGTATCGAGATGACTTTTTGCGTCACGTTGTGGCTTAGGACTCATTGAAATCACACTCCGATGCAATTTTCAATTGTGAACTTTGCAATCGCACATGAACAAAACGAAACGGCACCTTTCTTCCCAAGCACCGTTACAAATGAGATGCTAATCTCTCTGTCTCCATGACTTTTTATGCAGAAAACCTCTTCAACGTTTTTTTTTTTTTGCATTTTACACCACTAGATTAACATTTCAATGTTCCTGTTTCTGTTTTTTTTTCGGTTCGTTAGAGCAACAACAGTTGCATTTATGTTTACCATCGAATTGTTTTGATTGTGTTTGAGAGACCTCAAAATAGAATTACTTGTTTTGACTATTTGGTATTTTTTCCACTCGGTTCGATTCGGATTTAACGCGTTTGCTCCGGTCATCGTGATGACAAATAGCCATGCGATGGAATCTGAATGACGTATCAACTTCAAGCCGATTCTTTTTTTTTATGTGAAAAGAGATAATTACACACACACAGCATGTAACAACACATAAAACGATCTCACGGTAGTAATTTGGAAAACGTGAAACATACGCACCGTAATTTCGGCCTGATAGAGAGCCCTCCGATGTGTGTGGGCATGAGTGCACAAAAGAAGAGCGACGCACCAAAAACAGACAGAGAGACCAGTTGGGGTGCATCCGACGTGCGTTTACTTTGGTAAACGAGTAATCACGCATAATCACCAATGAGCCAACCGTCAAAAGGAATGAACCGACATTCGGGCATTCCAGTGTTTGATCAGTTTGATCAATGTGTAAAACACAAGAAATAATATGACATACTGAATGATTCAATCGATGCATCCATCTCGTGTTTGAAAATCGTTTTGTCTATCTCAAAGACTTTATATGTGCGTTTGAAGAATTTTCATAGCGAAGAATGTATTTAAGACCCCACTCTTGCACTCTGGTCGGAAACACCCAACACGAATGTTGTTCCTGTTTTGCCTGCGATAAAATGCGCCTTCTCTCTATTTGAAAAACAAAAAAACTTTTTGTATTCAATTCATTACAGTGGAGCTGGTTAAAACACAAACTGAACAAACAACCGCGTACTCAGTGAGTGAAAACAAAAGAAGAATCAAACTGATGCCAGAACAAAAGACCAGTATCTCTGCTGTGTTCCCTCATTCCATTCAGAATACATAAATACTTGTATATACAAAAAGTATTTCAACAAATCATTTGAGTCTTTTGATAATGCAGCACAAGCGAGAAAAGCACTTTTCGTAATTATCAAAATCACCATTCAAACGAGTCGGCATTTCTGGTTCTCGAAAGAATGCCATTGTGGAATCTGTGAAAATGTATTTAATTGCTTATCGAAAATTTTCGGGCGAAAAGCACAGAATAGCCGTTGCATATCGGTGATATTGACATGTCTTGTGTCGTTTTCATTTAAAAAATATGTCAATCCGAAGAGAAATGCATCAATCTTATCGTTTGGCTATTTAGATGAGGTGAAATGCATTTCAAACTTGTATCCCATAATCAACGAAACTAGAATCACTCTGAAGAACCAAGTGGAAAACTTTAGAAACATCAAATATGCATTCAGGTTGTGTTTGAGTGTGACTCGTAAGCAACAAAAATAGAAAATTATTTCAATTATTAAACATTTTGAATGTTGTTGTTGTTGACACGACATCACACCAGAATATCTGTGTGAAATATAATACTCTCTCTGGATTTGGATATTACTAAAGTGTTTGGGAATTGTCGTTTTCCTTCACGCTCTTCATAAAAGTTGAAATAGATCTTGACTTTATAAGTCAAACCGCATTTGAGGCGTCACGTTTGTTCAACGGGTGTCTCTGTTGAAAATAGAGTTGCGCTCTCCGTCTTTGTAGCACGGTACAAGAGCAATTATCGCACTTTAAAACACACTTCAAAACATTTTCGATTCATAATTTCACGGCTACATTTTTATTACTCAAACAACTGTGACTACGGATTTTTTCAACAATTTTTTTTTTTTAATTTTGCTACGCCGCGCGACGAACTAAATCGAGTTCATCGCGTGGAATTCACGACAGAATTTAAGTAAATCAATGTGAGAGCGTTTCTATGTTCGTTTTCAAAATTTCAAGAGAGAAAGAAAAAAATCAACAAATTTACTGCGGTAAATTATTACTAATCATTTACTTCTCATGAAATGTGTAAGTGGCGCGGCGTCTTTGGTTCATTTTCTAGCCTTTCGTCGGCCAGAGAATTCGACGAAAAACAGTGTATGGTTTTGTTCAAATTAAAGCCAGCAAGCTACTGTATCCGAATTCGATTCGTCGGAAAGAATAATTCCAAAATTTCGTGATCATCGATAATTTGGGATGTTTCGAGCTTAAACATCAAACGCACAAATCTATTTTTTTTTCGCTTTGATTTCGAATGAGAGGAAAAAACGGTCGAATGACCACGGGCATAGCAACAACAAACAGTCGTGCGTCGTTTGCTGTTGCTGTTTCTCTCTCTCTCTCTCTCTCTCTCTCTCTCTTTCGTTTGTTTCGATTTTGGTTTCTATTAGAGCGTTTATTTTGATCTCTCACATTCTCATTAATTTACTAGTTAAGCGATCGGCGGTGTGCGAAGAACGCAGACTCATCAACCTACGCATCGACATAGCAATCCGTCATATTTTTTCGGGCTGCAATAGATATATTTGAGAATTGTTCGCTATAGTTCGCTCGTACTCCTTTTTTTCGTGACATTCTCAATCACGAGTTCATCAAACTGTTTTGCTCTGTATTTTATTGTTCTTCTTCATTTTCATTCTATGTTTCAAAACGTTTTCCGTCGAAAGATCTAAAATTCAATCAAAATGGAAAACAATATTCGAAATTTCTTTTCAATTGTTTCATCTTAAGTTTTTTGTGAATGTATCGATTGACACAATCTTAATTTCGTTTTGTATTTAAAAGTAATCACTCAGCTTTAGTTTCGTTTGGCTGATGAGGAAAATCTCTAACGTTGCAGCTAAATTATGCTGTTAGGGAAACACAAACACATTTAACAATAGATTGACACAGCACAAAAGAACAGAATGATGAAGAAAAGAAGAACGACAGCAACCAGAAACTATGGAAATAGCGATTATGAATTGAAAGCGAAGGGGAAGCGGAATAATAAATGAAAAGAATGTTTTTTTTTCCTTTCGTTCGCTCTTTCGTCGACGTTGACGTCGACTTCTTCCACTGAAATCGCTTCATAAATATAGATCAGCTTGTACACGGGAACCCAACAGTCTTATATTTGTTTACGACATAGTATACAAAGTCGCACACCACATTTTCGTGTGGAATGCATTCAACGGGCTGGCTCAAGAGCTCACATGGAAATAATTATATACATATATCGTCGTATGCCGACGGTAGTTTTGTGTATATGCATTATGCACAACTCTATATACATACATACTCGTTACTTTGTTTTTATTGTGAAAATTCGAATTTTTAGTTGTGTTGAAAAACACAGAAGCAACATCGACGACAAATGAACGAAAGACTGAAATTAGAATGGAAAAATAAGTAATATTCAAACGGTTTTGCAAAAGAAGACATGCAAAATCGAACGTCTGAAAACTTCAGAAAAAAAGAGAGCGTTGAATGGATTCCCGAACGTCTACAAATCTCCTTTTGTTTGCCCTTTTCATCGGCGTAAATTGCCATCGTGGTTGAGCGAACGGTTGAGAAAAGGGACGGTTCACAATTTACATCTACGTATTACGATGGCTGCAGAGCAGCAGGCAGAATCGAAATCAAAAGACGAATAAAAAAGGGGATGATGAGCATCGATGTAATCACGCAGATTTTCTAAGCGAATGAGTTAATTTTTGAAGATTTTGACCAAACACAATGCCATTTCTTATTATTCTTTTCAGTCGAACAAAGCCGGATTTTGGGAGAAAGAACGAAAAAAAATATTACTACGCAGTTTCATGGAACATGTTATATTCAATTTTAAATTTCTTTTCATAATGAGATTTGATTGTAATGCATTCTAAACGACTAATGAAATGGTCTAATGAATTTGTTTTTTTCTTTTGTTTGCAGGGTATTATCAACCGGCTGGTCCATTGATAAATCCTCATCCTCATTTAGTTGGCGGCCCTCAAAACCTAACCAAACAACCTACATCGTCACCGTTAGACTCGGAATCGCTGCAACAGTCGCAACAATCGAGCTCAGTTGGCGAAGGTAATGAATGCGATCATTATGTCTGAATCAACACACTTTTTTCTTTGTACAATTGTATTTTCTTTTGATCTTATGCTTTTCTTCTAATTCGTACATTTTTCATCTTTCTGTAAATACAATTGAATTCCATGAACATTTTCAAATATTCAAAAAAAAATTAACAAAATTTTTGGCGATTACTAATGATTTACGCATTTCTTCAATTCCACAGGACCTTCACACACGTTCCGATATCAGCAACCACCAGTGTCATCACAAGCAATACCTCAGCCACAGTTGCAAGTGCCACCGGTATCACCGATACCAAGCCATTATTCACGGGCACCGCATCAGATGCACTGTCCCACATATCCGCCATCGTATTACGCATATGGTCAGCATCCCCGTGATATGTGCTATTCGCCACCATATCAACCAGGCTATTATACACCAAAGGTCTATCCAACCGCTTATCGTCAGTACATGCCAAGCACATCATACTATCAAGCCGTTCCGCCAAGTGAACTGTACGAGCATCCCGGATCAATGCATCAATCGCCATTAATTCCGCCGCCAGTATCACAGCAAGCAGCTCAATCGATTCCAACATCAACCGCACCAATTCAACCTCAACCACAGCAAATGCAATCGCCCAACACCCAATTAGTGCCGTCAATTCCGAATGCACCGCATTTAGAACCCTATCCACCATACTATACGCCCGGTTACAACCACGGAGGAGGCTATACGCGTAGTATACAACCTCCTTTTATCGGTAAGCAAAAGTATGGACACTGTATTCACATTCACACATTCTCGTGATTTTGCCAAATAGAAAAATCACGATAAAATACCCTGTTTATTTTGTTTGAGTTTGTGTGTGCGTGACTTATGGTTTGTAAGATGACTTGATTTCCTGCACATTTGCTCTGGAGCCATTTGTTTTGGTTGTCACTGTTATTGGTCTTAATTTCCATCGTTATATTTGGATTTTTCACGTAAATTTTTGTCAAAATTTCCTTGAATTTCATGTGCAGCGAAATTGTTGAATTTGTTTCTTTTTTCCATTTTGCGTGTGGAATGTTTTCGATTTTAATTTGAGAAAAATTGTTTGCTTTTCCAATATAGATTCATCACCATACCAGGGCAGTTGCCCATGTCCAATTCAGTCGTTTCCAAAAAACGTGCATATTGGGCCTCTTATTGGTAGCAAGACCGATAAGGGCCCGTGCCAAAAAAACTCATCACATTTACACGACTCTGCATTAATAAATCCAGTTCAATTCAAGCAAGAGAACAATAAAAACGGCGATCTTGACATTATTGTAAAGCCAGAAATTGTCGATCCACTCACCCAATACGATACAAATCATAAAAGTATCGATTCCATTGATCGATCGTATGAGAAAATAGCGCTGGTGCCACAACATCATCCGAATTATACATTGAATCCAAAATTATTGGAACAGCCCGAAATGTCGATCAGTCCAGCACGTGGTTCGATCGGACCGGGCATTCCAAAAATTCAAGCCGGTGCAACACAACCGCTGGATGTATCGTTAGAAAAACCAATATCGACCTCATTGAATCAGTCAACACCAGTCACAAGTCGACGGGCTCGTGTTGGCAAGAGTATGGCTCGCGAAATGATGCTGCAATCACATGCCGCCATAAATGATTCAGCTCATGAAATGGACATGGATTTACAGGGAGATTCACTAAGTGAATCGAAGAGCAACATTTGTGCATCGACACCGATCAAGGAACAGATTCACAATGACGAATATGAGAAGAATACCACGAACACACCCCATTTTCTGTCGACCACCAAACCAATGAATGGCACATTCATCAAACAGGAAGACGTTAAGAAGGAGTGTGATGACGATGTTCTACTGATCTCGGACAAATCAGAAACAGACACAATTTCATCGGATCACGAAAAATCCGTCGATTGTATACAAATCATCGATTTGTCCAGTGACAATGGCATTAAACTTCATACGGATGAACATTTGCCGAAAAGTAACTCGCTGAAACGTCACTGTGAGAATGAGAGTTCGGCAGATGAAATCATCGATTTGGACGAAGACAATGCCATTACAACGGTGAAACGACGGAAAATCCTCGAATTCCATAAAAATCCCAGCAAAAAATCACCACCAAATAGTTACAAGAATTTAATAAAGCCTTCCGATCCGAAATCATACTTGCGCCGAGCAGACTCAAGAGATAAAGACCTAGCGATCAAATGTAGTACACCACGAACGGATGAACAAACGATAAATCTAACACCAAATGGTTCCAATGAACATGATGCATTCAGAAATGGTACATATGATGTTGATGATAACGATGTTAAAACGATTGAGAGCAGTGAAAACCGAACGGAAAGCCTTGGAAAATCTGTGGATGCCATTTCATTGACAATGCCATCGATAGCTGATGAATTCCCACAAGAACTATCGGCTACTGAAGAAGAAAATTTCATGTCGCATCTCGACTCAAATAGCGAAGGCGTTTCGAAGGGATACTGTTCGGACAATGAGGTTTTGTCACGGAAAAAGGAACGCCTTAAAACGAAACTGCAGAAATGTGAAGGCCGATCTCGTTCTGAATCAAAGAAATGTGGAAAGATTCCAAATGGCAAATTGGCGACAAAGTCTGAGAAATCAAATCCAAAATCGAGAAAGAGTTCGCGCGATCGATCGACATCGTCTAGCAAATCGAAAGAACGTGCTGAAAAACCACCAGCAGCGAAAAAGGCGAAACAAAATTCGGACAATGTGTCTCCAAGCAGATCGTCAACGCCGGCTGCAAGCAAAAAGAAGATCGAGTCGAAAAACAAAAAATCAAAAACACCCAAAACGAAAAAGAGCTGTGAAAAATCGAAGAAGACACCCGAAAATCAATCGTCGAACGAATGCGACACGGACGATGCATTGCTGGACAATGAATCACACATCCAAAATAACAACAATAACATTTTGCTGGATAAAAATAATCACATGCATTTGGAAGCACTGGTGGCTCCAACGTTTAACGTGAACAAATCGCTGGCCACAAAGAAATCCAAATCACGTGGCAGCAAATTCAGCAATAAGAAGAGGCATCGTGCTCGTCATCCGAAGCACGTCGAAGAAGTGATCATTCCACGACAAACATCAGCCGCACCACGATGGAGCAACGGCTGGAATTGGCTTGGCGAACCGTTTCAAGGAAAAGTGTTCCTTAATGTAAGTTGATTGATAATTTTCTCCTTCTTGTTTTGTTCATTTTTGAAAAGTTCATTAGAACATTGAATCTAATATGAACTTTCTATTCGTTTCTCTACAGAGTGACGATCATCAAGTGGTTCGAACGCGGTATCCAGCGATGCGACATGACTGCGGAGATATCATTCGACCGGGTGATTGTGTGCTTTTGCGAGCTGGTAGCAAGAAAAATGAACTTCCGTACGTTGCAAAAGTCGCATCACTATGGGAAAATCCTGAAGATGGTACGGATTCTCCTACATTTTTATTGTTTTTTTCTTTAAATTTTTGATATTTCTGGAAATTGTAGAATATAATCACTATATCATTGAATATTATGTCATATAAAAAGAAGTCAGTCATTAAATAAACTCTATTCTAAACATTTTAGAGTTTATTTAATGACTGGCTTCTTTTTATATGACATAATATTCAATGATATAGTGATTATATTCTACAGAAATGAGTTCGATTTGAATATACTTTTGCTTAGGATATTTTTTTCATTTAAATTTAAATTTAAATCATTAAAAACCCAAACTGATTGATTCTTCAATTTTTCAGGTGAAATGATGATGTCATTGCTGTGGTATTATCGTCCTGAGCACACCGAACAAGGTCGTCAGCCGACCGATTGCATGGATGAAGTATTTGCATCAAAACATCAAGATCACAACAGCGTTGCCTGCATCGAAGACAAATGCTATGTGCTTACGTTCAACGAGTATGGCAGGTAAATGAAACAATTTTGATTAAAATTTTGAACATTTTCGTGCATTCAAACATCTATTGGTAAATTTAAACGAATCGTGTCCATTTCCTTATTCCAGATACCGAAAGAGCATTCGGGCCATTGAGCAAGGAATCGAAGAAGTTCCCTCAATCGTTCCAGCTTTAAAACAATCGACGGGTCGCGAAGTACCACTAAACACCAACAGTGAATTGATTCTATTCTGTCGTCGTGTGTATGAGTTTCGTTTGCGGCGACTAATCAAAAACCCATCATAGGCTCAGCCACGGAAATATCAATCAAGTGTGCAGCAGACACTTGAAACAAAAAATTTAAAATAAAACATAACATTTGAAAATAGTTCCTTATGATGCATAGACAAAAATGCAGGAAGATAAAAATAAAGCAAAAAAAAAATGTACAAGCAAATTTTTTCTCCGAAAGATTTGATCGCAAACAATCTTATAAGGAAATGCAAAACCAGAGAAAATGTAAAAATTTGATTAAACACAAACAAACACATAAATTGACACAAATGTAAATGTTGTTGAATTCAGGTCCAATTAATAATTAAGATTTAATACATACATACACACACACACACAGAAAACGTATATAGAAATGAGTTGAATGTGTATAGAAAATAACCACAGTTATGCTTCGATGGAAAGCATTTTGTTTCCATATTTGACATGTAAGATCAGAGCAAAACACTACTTTCCATTTTGTTTGTAAATTTACAAAGCGTTAGAGATTCTAATTAGGACGTAGATCGTAAATCTGTAATTCCGTATTCAGCCTTGGTGTATTTATATAAACAACATTCTGTCATGCTACGTAACAGATAAACAACGTGGAAAAGATGAGAAAAAAAATAAATGGTATAGTATATATGTCCGGATTGTAGCTAAAATTTCGGAGCAATTATTAAGGATAATCAGTATCTCATCAAATATGGAACAAGAACGGTTCGAATCAACCAAAAGGATGTGTGTGAACAAATAGAGGTCCGTGGTTTTTTTTTTATTATTCAAAATCAATGAGCAGAGATATGATAGCCATAGACAAGGAATTGCCTCTGACATTCTTTTGATTGCTTCATAAAATCGTGTAACATGATCATGGGAATTTATGAGTTTTTTGTTAATTTTTTTGTTGTTTTAAGTGGAACAAACGGTTAAATTTGCTACTGAGAAATCGATCCCAAAATGTAATCAACCACCATTTTGTTGAAAACGCTTCAAAAGCGCCAATTCTTGATTTTGACTGTCAGAAATTCAACAAGAGGAAATGAAAATGTAAAGTGAAATGCTGTGAGCGGGTATAAATATTTAAAAGCAACGATGACATCAACGGTGTGTCATCGAAATCCTATCATATTTATTTGAAACAGTTCTTGTACATTCGATTTTCGTCAGGAGACATATGCACGTGTAAAAAAATGAAAGAAAAAACTGGGCTTTGTTCAAAACAACACACCTATTTCAAGTTAATTTATTTTAAATTATTTTTATGCCTAACACCGCGCTCCATTATTTCGGACGACTAAGAATTACATTGTACACAAAAAACCAACGGAGCAAAATAAATATTTAAATTGTAAAAAACAAAAAAATACAAATCGATTTTGTCAAAGCAAAGGAAAATAAAGCAGTTGACTTGAAGAAACGAAAAAAACGTGAAAATGCTGAATTTAAATGTGTGTATTGTAGTGCCTTGTCCGTTCATTTCATCCGGAAAGTCTTTCTTCTGGTTAATTCTTAAGGGGTGAAATCATTCTTCTATCAATTTCCTCTCAGACGTGGATAATCACTCATCAGTCACTGGTTTTGTTCTTGTTTGGCCTAGAATAAATTTTCTTCCTTCATCAACAAAGTAACGAAGAATGATCAGGATAGTTTGAGTCACACATTACCATCAAACGTGCGATATGAATGATAAAATGTTGATTCCACGAGAAATTGACTTACTTTCGCACACCGAGGCAACAAAAGGGAGGAAAAAGTACACAAATTACATACGGTATACCGACGCATGTTAACCGAAATCATAACCAAAAAAATCAAAGCAAAATACAAGTTGTAAAAGTTATATATATATAAATGAAAACAAATTAAAATCTAAGTAAGCTATTTGTGTATTTTATTTGTATTTATGAAATAATGGAGCAAACAAAAGAAGAGAATCGGTTGCATTGTATCCGCATGAAAAATATCACATGTAACACAAAACCGAATTGTTAATTTAACTTGGCTCGGCATTACGTTCGAAATGGGTTGGAATTATTGGATGGATTGCAAGGGGAAAAAAACTATATAAAAATAGCATTTAATAAAGATGAGAAATGACAGAAAAAAAACACCTGAAAATATGTTTTTTCATTGAAATTGGTAATAATGTATTAAATGGAAGTATTGATCCGGTGTCATCATTCGCTCATTCAGAATGAATGCGGTGAGTTTGCTGAAAGTTTAATTGGCTGGATGCAGTTCAATCATATCAAGGTAAACTTTGATTGATTTCACAGTCGCTAATTCGAAATCGATTCTTAATTCGATTATGCATGGGTTTTCTCACATATACCAAAATTGAAATTGAATGCTCAAAACTTGGTTTGAATCCATGCAAAACTCAAGTATTGTCTAAACTATTCCGTGAAGGATATGCCATGAAAATTTAATGAGATATATGTGTTTGTGTTGAATCAGTTCACACTTGGACGCTTATCAGCACTATTCAACAGTGTTTCGCGTCAGCCCAGTGTGACGTAAATATCTCCATCTATTGCGCATCTGACAGGCACTAATGATTGTGTGTTTGCTCATTGCGAACGTTGTTATGCAAAACTTCAAAACACTCCAATGAGATCAGTGATATGAAAGCACATTTTATTCAATAAGGTACATCGAATGCGATGTTCATGTGTTGAAAACATCGAACAATTGAAAGCTTGTACTGAAATTCTGTATTGTATTCATTTTGTGAAATGAAAAATGATAAAATTGAAGAAAGTGTGAATATAATTGCAGATTTTTTTGAATTTATTTTCAAAATTTTTTTTATTTCGTTTTCGCTAAGCCAATAATAATATTTACTTTTTATAGTATTACGGGCCAAAAGTTCCGGTATTTCTTTTAAACGTCTTTCAATGAAACAAGGAAGTGTTTTGACAATTTGCCACGCCAAACAGCAAACAAGTTTATGTATAACAATTGATAACATCAATATTGAATTCATATCATCATTGATTCGAATTTTTTTCATTAAGAAAAAAAAAACCACAGAAAAAAAAACTTTTTTTCCGTTCAAATCGCTAAACATTCTAACCAGCGGCACAATCGGTAAACTTTCAAATGATCGGAAGAAAAAAACAGAATCGGGCGAGAAGGCAACTTCAGAGCGAACTGTCGACTCGTCTGAATAAAAATAACAATAACAATATGGAGGCAGTGCAAGGCATGCGCGCCATCTTCACCTTTTTCGCAGTTCAGACTGATTTGACAGCAGAGAGTTTTTTGAGCGCAACGCGATGGTCGTCGAAAACGTATCTTGAAAGAAGAGAAGAAAAAAAAAAATTGTAAATCGTATTCCATTGGAAAATAAAATTGCAAAATTGTTTACCAAAATGTGTATCTAAACCGCGTAATTAGCTGAGTTAATGTGATCAGTGTCGGCTGCATTTATTTGTTTTGTACGTGAAACGAATTGCATTTTGGTTTGTGTGAATAATGTTCAGTGAAATTTTTTTTTTTTAAAAGTCGACAGAATATGGAGGAAAGGATCGGGAAAACGAATCACTCGTTGCGTTTATGAGTGAAATGAAAGAAAAAAAGCATTGAAACTGTGTGTGTGTGTGTGTGTGCGTAAAAAAAAAGTTCGTTTGAAAAAAGAGTTCATGCAAATGATCGATTTGAGTTGGCGTTTGAAAGAGAAAAAATTGTGCAGAAAAGTTCATTATTTAGGTCTAATAGTTTTAATACGATTCGAAATTTATTTCACAAGACCTCTCAAAATCTCTCATTCTCTCTCTCTCTCTCTTTCACTCTCTCGGTTCGGTCGGTTGGGTGTGTATGTGTATGAATGTGTGTGTAAGTGTGAATGTGCGTGTAAGACCTAAATGGAGCATTGTCACGTATACACATACGAATTCGTCGTCACACATTCCGCAAAAGACCACAAAATCCACCAACAGTTTGTTGTAGTATCTGTAATATATGGTCAGATTTGTTGTTTCGTCGTCGTCGTCGTCGTCGAACTCTCGCTCTCTCGGTCCGTGTGTAACGCTCATGCACACATCAGTGTTAGCGCTCCTCCGTGAGTGCGATATATGGCATAAAGACACATATATTGTTTCTTTCTTTCTCTCTCTCTCTCTCTCTCTCTCTCGTTCGTCGCACGTTCGAAGTAATTGCGTTTAAGTGATTAAGCGCTGCTGTGAAACCGCTATTAGTCAAGCAAACGATTGTCGTTTTACAGTGTCGTTTTTGACACTCCGCACAGTCCATCGAATGCGCTTTTGTTGAACGAGAACGCGGAGAGCGAAGAGCGAAGAGAAACGCAAGCATACGCTGTGTCGTCGAACGACTTTGGTGTGTTCGATATGCTCGCACTGGCACTTTATGATCCAACGCAACAATACTAACACATAAACTTGACATCGGAATACTCACGTTCACCATCTCTCAGCCATGTCGCATTCGCCTGCTTGTTTGTAACTGTGTTTGCGAGCGAGTGTGCGTGTGTGTGTATTTGTGTGTGCATGCCCAAGACGAAGCAACTAGAGAATGAGAAACGAGCACAAAAACTTTTATGGGTGGGGAATACGAGTGCAAATACAATCCAAACCATCGTTCAAAGAGGAAAAGTGCAAAAGTGACAAGAAACAGAGGAAAAAAAAGCGAAATTTTTCGCATTTAGAGTAGATAAAATGTTCGTGCAGAGATTCCGATAATTTGTTCAATTGACTGAGACGTCGGTTTTTCCAAGGCGAAACACTCAGTTTTTTTTTTGTTCGAAAAGACGACGACGACGACGTCGACGAGCAAAAAAGTAATATCTATCGCTCGCTTGTGAGTCTTCTCATATATAGTTGACGTGTGGTTAACGAATTTACGCGGTGAAAACTAGAAATGTGTGCTCGATTTTGTTGTTGTTCATCGTATTTATTGAATTTATTGCGTGTGTCAGAGAATTCAGTCCGTAAGAAAAAGGCGTTCAATGTGATTTGTGACAAATTTTGTTGTTTTTTTTCTGTCGTTCCTGTTCTGTTTCTCATCCGTTCTCTTTTTATCCTAGAGATTCGCGAATAGCAAACCAAATCGATTTGACATTGCAATTCACTCAGAATACTTACAATTTCTTTTCTTTGTCTTTTTCACACTAATGAAACTAATTAAATGACAATATAGAAGCTGTTGTGTGCATCCAGATCGATTTCCTCTGCCATTCTACCAAAGAGCATATAAATCCAAGTGCATTCTGCAACGCGCATATATAGATAGAAAATATTATTTATTTTTTGAATGACGACACACGATCAAAGGCGATCTACTTTATTGATAAAAATTGCAAAATTGCGTGGAAAAATCAATTTGCACCCGTTTTCTACTCGCATTACCACACATTGAATCGTTCAACACCACGGAAAACAGCATATATTTATATGTATATTGTATAGATAGAAGTATTTTCAGTAAAGTGAAATTAAATTGGTCGTGTGCGAATGTGTGTAGTTGTGTGTCGTAGCGCACGTATGTGTATGGCTGACGGAACAATACAACACAAAATATATGTACTCAAAATTGGAATATACACAGTTTCAGTGCTTTTGACAGTAGCCCCGAAAATCGCTTTTGTTTTAACCAAAAAAGAAAAGAAAATTTCACAATGAAATCCATTAAGGATGAAATTGTTCATTTTCATTGAATATTTGATATGCAATCTGATTTTTGTTTTGTTTTTTTTTTTCGTTTCATTTCCAATTTGCAGTTTATCGAAGTGAGCAGTTGTTTTTTAGTTTATCAACCGCACAGAGAATTCATTCACCTAATGATAGAGACAATCTCTCTCTTAATAGTTTTTGAATGTTTATCCCAACATCAACAACAAACAATATCAACCGAAAGAAAAATAACATGCGATTGATTGCATTTTCCATTTAAAAGTGAATGTCATTTTAATAATCAGCGACAAAATTGTAATTCACAGCACTGAGAGACAGAACAAAAAGGGACTACATTTTGCTATAGAAAAGTGTTGAAAACAAATACGAAATCATCAAGACGAAAATCAGCCAGCAACAGAAAACGAATTAAACAAAGAAATAATGTACAACAGATAAAATCGTTTGTGAATTTAAGTAAAAGCAAGAACGAAAAAAAAAAAAAAAACGCAAATTCTGTTTGAACAGAAACGACAACAACAACAACAACAAAAAGTATCGAAATTTTCGTTCGACAAAATCTAGCTAGTTGTCACGAAAATCAACTATTTGTTGTCATCGATTGAGATTAAAGTCTCAATTACATTTCATGATTTAAATCATATTTTGTCGCGTCGAATTGTTGTGTGTAGTCCCTCATTCCCCACTTGTTGTTTTTTTTTTTTTCATAGGCATAAATCTCGTTCCGAACAAAACAAACAAAGAAAAGATTATCAGCAGAAAACAAAATATAATA